TCTCTCATCTTTTTAAGTGGGAGAACTTGCACAATTGGTGGCTGACTAAATACTTTTTTGCCCCACTGTATATATGACATTTTATCCACTCACCACATACACAGTTTCTTGAAAGAGAGAAAGCTCTTTTATTGAAGCTACACAAGTAAACACAGTAATTAAATATTCAGATGATTTCCCTTAGCAAACCTCTTGGCAGCTAAATATCTATCAACACTATTGAAGAAAAGTGATATAAATGGAAATCCACCAAATGAGGACTGAACTTATCAGTGAGTGCAGCTGAATCTGAGAGTCCAGACTGCCATTTCGGATGTTTGATGAGGACAGGCTATGGAATGGACAAGACTAGGGAAGGATGCTCAATGTTTCAAGGGCTAAGGAGCTTGTTGGTTAAGAAAGCAGAAAAAGACACGCATATGTGCAGAGTGACACTTCATAAGACTACAAAATATGCTATGAAACCATATTTTGTCTTTAGTTGTAAAGTCTGTAGACACTGATGATGTGATTAAATACATGCACTGAAAATCAGTATTTCAGATACTGTATATCCCCACTTCCATTTGTATCTATGTTTCAACTTGTGTGAACTTGAGAATAGCTTTTCTTGATAAAAACAGGGTTACCTGGATTCATAAGACATCTGGAAAAACAGAAAGGTTTGACCTCACCTTATCCATACTGGGGGCATTCAGTCTCATGATGGAGGCATGAACCAACCGCTCAAATACTGTCCTCAGGGCTTTCCTGGAATAGAGCTCCTGCGGCTTAAACAGCTCATCCATAAACTTTTTATTGAATATGCCCCCAATAATGTCATTCATCACTGAAAAGATAAAATAACCATAATTGTTAGAAATCAATTGTTTTGGTTTCCCAGGAAAAAAACAGGCAGGTAGCTGAGAAGAAAACGTGTAGAGGCTGCTTTCTCACTTAAACTTCCTTGCCCCCCAGATAATTCCTGTGCAAGGCAACGCTCTCTTCTAAAGACTCTGCAATTCAAGAAGAGGAATGGAGAAGATATTTCCTTTCTTGCCAGGGATTTCACTACTGTAGACTGATAACAATGCAGGAGTTGGAAAACGTTTTCTTATATTTGAAAATGAGATGCTTGAGACTGCTTCAGTCCTATTTCTGCACCAGATAATTCCCTCTTCCAATAATTGGAAAGGAAATGTTTTCAAATTCCAAGATAAATATTTATCAACTAATGGTTGTAACTTGCAACATCATTTTTTGCACTGCAAGCTGCATCAGTTCTGCTTCCTGCAGTCATAAGACATTTTAAAATCCAATGTAATTTACTGTGAAAAATAATTGTATCTCAGTTTTAAGATTCTGCAATTAGTTGATCTACTCGAACATTAACTACTAGTGGATCCTTTTTTCTTACGAGGATCACATTCTAGGTACAGTAGTTATCAATATTTACATGTCCTACTTGCCAGGTGAAATCTTCACAGTGGCATTCGTTAGTATTACTTAAACATTAAATGCTGCTTCCTGTTTCCCCAATAATATGGATCTGCTGGTTATAAAGAACTCTCTCCCCCATAAATTACAAGAAATATTAGTACTGCTACAAGACTGTTAATAACCTTGAACATTGAAGTGACTCAGACTTTGTAACAACTGTGACTGTGTATGGGAGGATCAGACACCGAACAGGTCAGAAATTATCCAACTATCAAGCACTGCATCTTTAGGTCTGAGATTTTTCTAGTCAGAATCAAATTAATTATAGGAGACGTGGCTGTCCTAAAAGCCAGAAGTGTGAGGGTGCTGATGATACCTGAAGTTAAGCAGCATTAATATACTAAATTTATTATCCAGTACTGTCATTTTTTCTATTTCCATGGTGGAAGGAGGAAAAAATGGAGTTTCCCTCAGGCTCTCCACAACTGTCACAATCTCAGGCTGTGTTCCCACAACACACTTAACCCGGCCTGTTGCAAATGTATTGGTTGCATTAGCGCAGCTTACTTTTAAACTGAGTTATTTTATAGCTTCATATGCATGTAAACCTAGCTCACATGGTTCAGTGAATTGTGCAAAACCAGAAAATGGGTTAAGGGCATTGTATGAACATCCCCACCATGCCTTTTCTATCTGCCACTGTTATTTTTCCTTAGAGTCATTCAACCTGGCATCCAATAGGTGTTGCTAAACACAATGTCTCTAGAGACAGATACACAGCACAATTCCCTCTGGATAAACTCTGAAACAATCCTTATAAAATATCTGTAGTGAAGTGTTCGTCACTATTTCTAAAAAGATGTTACAAGTCCTGCTTCTGTGCTGCTTAGACCCCAAGTCAAAAAACCTCTCAGCAATGCAGTACTGATCCAGCGGAAGGGACCACCTGGGCCCGTTGCATTGTGTTGCTCCACAACAAAATCCATATTCAGAGGGCAGGGGGCTAGGCTAATGGCTCTTCTTTAATTAGGGTTCCTGAATTGTTCCACAGCCTGTAGCAGAAGCTGCTGCAGCGTGGGCTTGGGAAGTCTGTCCTAAGGCAGTGCACCCAAGCAAACTATTACAGGAAGGAATGTTACGCAACTGCTGTACTGTACATTTACCAGACAGAACTGGGAAGTTCTTAGAAATCTGTTGCTCAAGTCTATGCAAGTTATGCAGTCTTCTCTAAATAGACGATGAGCCCCTACTCCTCGATCACCTGCAGGACTACGGCACAACATGTGCAAGTGAATCGGAGGTGAGGTAGAATGCTGGGGTTATAACTGTAGCTGTCACTGACATCCACTGCAAATTACAATGATGCCAAGTGCCACCATTATGTTCCAAACATGTCATGCCACACCTAAGAGGCAGGCAGGCATTTGCGTAATGATAGCACACATGTATTATCATTTACTCCCCAGAGACACTCACGGTTGCAGCCTGCTTTGCATCGCTATCTATTAAATTTATTACACAAACACTTTAACAGAATATGACAAAATGTGGTGAAGCCATACCAAATGGTATGAAAAGATGTTCAAACAATAAACTTTGGGACAGAGCAGATTTCCCTGTCCTGGTGTCTCTTCAGATGCCTTAGAGTACAAATTTCATCATCCCAAACCTTTGGCCAAGATCTCTAGGGATGATGGAAACTGAACCTATACAACTGGAGGGCACCGATTGGTGAAGAGCTGGATTAGAAGTAGCAGACTAAGGCAGTTATATGCAACCACTGGTGCACTGGTTACTAATTTTGCAGCAGAAGCAACTGGTAGTAGGAGCTGGAAACAGACTGGACAAAATCTGTCTATATTTTGCATATGAACAGTCAGACATCATTCATGCCACTCAGAGTATTTCACTTCAGAGTTGGAAAGTGCCCTTGAGGCTACATTTGAAAACAATTTGGAGGAACATAATGGTACATAACGCAGTGACTGGATTACTGGCATGCAAGACTTGCTATTATACATAATCATAGAAGGGAAGGGTTTGGAAGGGAGCTTGG